TGGTTTTCTGTTTCGTTTACTTTTAGTGGCCTTATGTTATGTTCAAAATAATCAAAAATGAGAATGTGTCAAATTTTTGTCGGGAGATATTCATTTCTCGCCCCCTCTTTGAATTTTCCTATCTACGCCCCTGCCCAAAATTGCCCGAATTCAACCAGCATTTACCCGACTGGGGGGGCTGCAGCCCCTCCCCTCAGTAAAAAGATGGGATTTTTTTTTTGGGGGGGGATGATTTATAATGAATTAAACTTTAGCAACCCAACCCTCCGATGGTTACTAACCTTCTGTATGTATTTCAAACAAATTTTCAGAAAATTATTGATAACAATCAACATAATCAATAATTGCACCTCTACAATTAGTTTAGCTTTATTCCATTTGTCACAATGTTTTTTTGTTTTTTTTTTGTGCTGTTTTATTTTGCTTCTAAATTACCCCTTGTGTGAAAGGAATGGCCGAGGTTACCATCCACTGGCGGCGAGGGATTTGATCGCAGGTCAGCAAGATTGTTAGACGAGATCGGTACCGCTGCACTTCACGGCACACTGTGTAGTGCAGCAATAAATAAATTGTGGGCTGTATTAATGAATAAATGTTCCATCCAATCACATGTACAATGGTAAGTTAATAGTAGTTTGTCCCTTCCCATTCAAAAGGAGTCCTAAATTGAATCAACAATACTAAAACTAAAGCACTATAGGAACGTATAGGAAAGGGTAGTGAAGGGTGGTTAGTGGTTAGTGGTTAGTTGCTATTCGTCAGCTATATAGATTAATATTGAAAAGGTTCAAGCTGGGTAAAGGAGTCGATGAGCGAATGGGTTAAGTTCGGGTTAGGTAAAGGGGTTAGATCAAGTGAAGGACATCTATGCGTCTGAGGAAAGAGAACAGGTTATCAAAGCAGAAAATGTGAGATATTGTAAGGATGTCTGATAAGGTAGGAGGTCGGTGAAGGGAGGATAGAAAGGGGAAAGTAGAGGTATGGGTTACATCAAAGCGTGGGCAGGACAATAGAATGTGTGGAACTGAAAGAGGGACTTTACAAAGGGAACATAGGAGCGGATCAGAATGTGACATTAGATAGGAGTGTGTTAAACGGGTGTGGCCATGATATAAGTTTTTTTTTTAAGTGGTAATTGGGAAATGGTATAGGAGGGTGTATAAGAAAAGTCTGTTGAAGGCAGATAACGGATAGGTTATAAGAAGAGAGGATATGACTAAGGTCAGGTCTGTGAAAACGGAAACCACGAATATTCCAATGTAGGAGAGCTATTGCTTAGTTGATCTACGAGTGATAATGGTTATAGTGCTTGTTGTAGAATTTGAAGGGGAAGGAGCTTGGGAGTGGGATAATGAATGAGAGGGGGGAGGTGGTGTTGTATCAGGAGGTGGAGATTCTGGGGAAGGAAGTAGTTGTGACATAAGGGATTCACGTGTTTATCCAGGAGGGAGAGGAAGGAATAGAGGAGATGGAGGGAGGGTTAATGTAGGTGGAGCTGGAACTGGGGGGATGGGCTGTGTTGGGAGGGAGTAGGAGGAAGGGGTGTAGAGGGAATACGAGTAGAAGGAGGATGGATATCGGCTGTCACTTTGAGTGTGGAGGGAGCGGGAGTTGTGGAATTTGAGGGTGGATGAGGGATTCCAGTGTCAGTTTGGGACTCGGGCAGATAGTTTTGAATATCCTCATGAGTTTCTGTAAAGGAGTTGGTTGGGGAGTTTTGTGAGACAAAGATTTTCTTATAAGGGGGAAGTGGAGACTGGTGTCTGAGGAGTAGAGGCAAAGATAGGCGGAGGTGAGTGTGTGGTAGAAGGGGTGAAGGGGTTGAACGTTTAGTCTGGCTGCTGTGGGTAGTGCGGGGAGGGAGAGGGGGAGGTGTTGGGGCTGCAGTAGAGAGTCTGGGTTTAGATCGGCAAAAGAATTTGACTGAGGAAAGTAGGAGGTAGAAGTGAGGAAGTAAGATGTAGAAGGGATAGGTATAGGGCAGGGTGTAGGAACGTCTTGGGTGGGAAGGGAAGGGGCAGAGCGAACGATATTACTGGAGTATGGAGTTAGAGAAAAACCTTGTGATGTGCTTCCTGTCTGGCTTCACGTAGAGTCCAAGTCTGATTCTGAGAGTTGCCACCTCAGACTCAAATTTGTAGGTGGGGCAGCCCCTATAAAATACATTATGGGGGCCGCTACAGTTGGTACATGTGCATGACTGTACAGAGCAGTTTGATCCAGTATGACCAGGTTGGGCACAAAGAGGGCATCTGGCTGTGGAACGGCAATGTTTGGCAGGATGTCCTAAACGCCAACAATTTTGACACTGACGAGGAGGAGGTGAATATGGTCAAACAGGGAGAGATTCTCCACCATGTAAACATTAAAGGGAAGGCCATGTCTACAGAAAGTAATTTTGGCAATGTTAGTGGGAGGGAGTAGCACTGTACTGATATCGCATCGTTGTCCGTGAGGGAGGCGAGTAAGTCATCTCAACAATCTGACTATTTAAGAGATCAGTTAAGAGTTAATAATGCTATAGCTTGGTTTTCAGATGTTACTGTGACGAGACGGGAACGATCGGGTCGGTTACGGAAAGTGACTTTGCCTACTTGTTTTTAGAGACATTGCTGGAAGAGAAGTGTTGTCAGAGTACTGAGTTGTGGGAGGGATCACGAAAAATCGGTCCCATTTGGCTGGGCTAGATAGAGTATTTAAGACATTGGTAGCGATGGGGTTAGTAGGAGAACGGGGGCGTGTGGAAGAGGGAGTAGTGTTGAGGGAGGTGGGCAATAAGGCTGCAGTGTTCAAAGCTGTGGTCAAAGGAGAACCTGGGGTCAGGGAATCGGGAGAGTTTGAAATGGTGGGGCTATTTGATAAAGGGGCAAGCCCCATTGCCCTTATATTGGCCATGATAAGCCTGGAGTATGTTGGGGAGAGAAACAGTCCACCCTTCAGGTAAGGGCTATTCAACTAAAACAGGGGAATACTGTGCCCGCGGCTCCCTCAGGCCGTTCAGGATTGGCACAAAGTCAGCCTTTCATCCTTTTAGCACGGCTCTCATACCTTAGGAAGTGGATAGTAAATGGGGTTGGGGAAGGGATGGAAACAAAAGAGCAGGAGGGGAAAAAAAGACCATGCAAAATTAGTTGAGTCAAGGGCTGAGTCCCAAGGCAGGCGAGTTCCCCAGCATTGGTTCCCAGTCTTTGCCTCCTTAGCCCTCCCCCCCCCCACGCCAACCACGGACATGGGATTGGGGGAGACTATACAAATAAAAAATCAAATTGCAATTCGTAATTTGTGTTGAGAAATTCTCAACAGCATTTTTTATCTAAGAAATTACTGTGTAAAAAAATAAACATTTTGACATCATTCCTTTGGCTAAGAATAAAGTTGTAGCATTGATTCTTTTATTACAGTTATGTTTTGGCAACTCACAGAAAGTAAACATTATTACTGCATTAGTAATGGAACACATGATATTATTAGTCCTTTAAAATATCAATGCGAGGGTCAGTAGATGGCAGTGCCAATGTATTCCTCCTCCAGTGGCCCCCTCAAAAAATATTCAATTCTTCTTTCTAATTATGTTAATCCACTTCCAAAAAATGAGCTTTTTAACAGTGTCACTGTCCCTGACAACATCTTCACCAATAATGTTTTATCATTTGTTTGTTGCCATTTATTTGGCAGCCACTATGATTGCAGCAGTAACTGCACGCAGCTGGAGACCATGAGGGTTTATCACACAGCACAAGAGTTCAAATCCTGCCTGAGGGTGTGAGAATAAAAGGAAGAACATCCAGTCAGGGAAACAGACATCACCTGTTAATTGGTTAATTGTTAAAAAAACAAATAAATTTGCAAGACATCAAAGGTCAAAAGCACAATAGGAATGTATATCATCTGAAAGGGTAAAGAGGGGAGTAGTTAATGAGTTAAAAAGCAAATGTGCTACTATTCAAAAGCCATGGTATTGAAAACCGTAAAGTGGGAAAGTAAATGGGGTAAGGCAGGGATTAAGCAAAAGAGGAAAGGGAGGTTAAGGGCGATTAGATCATATAGAGGATACAAGTCTGTGAGAATGGAAACCACAAACATTCCAGTGTAGAAGAGCTATTATGAAACAATCAGCTGGTAATATGGGTAAAAATGGGTATTGGAGAAGTAGGAGGACATGATCCTGGGGAATGACACAAGGGTTCCAGGGGGGACTAGCAGTCAATTTGAGTTCTGGCAGTCGCTCACTCACTCACTCACTCACTCACTCACTCACTCACTCACTCACTCACTCACTCACTCACTCACTCACTCACTCACTCACTCACTCACTCAACTCACTCACTCAACTCACTCACTCACTCACTCACTCACTCACTCACTCACTCACTCACTCACTTCCTTTTTCTTATTATCTTTTTCATTTCATTCTCACCCACGGAGTTTGATTAACTTTGAAAATGTCATAGTTCATCAGTGCCATGCATGGATACAAAGGTAATTTAAATTTTTGGCCTAAATTTTGGGATAAATTATATGTTTCTCACATGTATTTCCTGGATGTTTATGTCTATGTACAAGGTTACTTTCCAATTTTACCTTTTTCTCTCTTTTGTTACAACCCATAACCTGAAATTACTGTAGACAAATTTGCATTTTCTAGGAAGGAAACGTGAATTAGAAATCCCATAGTTGCAAGAATTTGCTTTCATATTTTTGCACTGTAAGATATTCCACACCTTTTGATGGTCGTAACAAAATGAATACAACATCCATTTTGCATGGGATTACAATAACAGTAAACTCCCCTGTAATTTGCCTTACTCATAGATCTTCCAGATTATTTCAACCAGTCTACCAAATCTGCCTTTGCCATATACATATGGTAAGTCTTTCATGTCCCTGTGTTTTGACATCTCACCTTCAACAAATACGCTAACCAGAATAAATACAGCACTGCTAACAGAACACAGTGCTTAAAGAAGCAATGAGAATAACTGGATATCTAAAAAAATAAAGATGCTTACTACCTTTATTTCAACTTTGGCAGATATATCTTATTTTCTCAAAAGTATATTAACAAATAATAACACAGGAGGAACAAACTTCACATTTACACCAATTTACACCAATTTATATCTATGCTACAGCAAATCATACACAACCCAAGTGAAGGAAATCATTTTTCAAATATATTTACTTAAGAGTTTCACTGGGATGCTTTCATTTAACAAAAAACATACTGTTGAGAATCACTCCATAAATGAAAAAGTTATTGAAAACCATGATTATCTTTGCTATCAAATAATAATAATAATAATAATAATAATAATAATAATAATAATAATAATAATAATAATAATAATAATAATAATAATAATAATAATAATAATAATGATAACAACAATAATAACAACAATAATAATAATAATGACAATGACAATGACAATGACAATGACAATGACAATGACAATGACAGTGACAATAACAACAACACCAACAACAACAAGAACAACAATAATAATAATAATAATAATAATAATAATAATAATAATAATAATAATAATAATAATAATAATAATAATAATAATAATAATAATAGTAGTAGTAGTAAGTAGTTAATGCTTAATGGTTGAGACAAATGAATGTTAACCCAAAGCCATTGGGCATGGCATATACTTACATACCATGCCCACTGTGAGTTTATTTTATTAATTGTTTTTACACATAGAGGGCTACACTTGTACTAAGTCACCAATGAGCCAATTATGAGTACTGCCTGTCTTACCTGTTTACCCTTTTCCTTGATTTTCAAAAATGTTTTACATTATCTTATATTACTGTTACTAGTAATTATAGTATATATTAATTATAAAGTATAAAATAAAAATAACACCATCAATATTCTAAGCATTAGTAAAAAAAAAAAAAAAAAAAAAAAAAAAAAAAAAAAAAAAAGTTTTCCTGCAAATTTAAGGAAAGGTGAAATCAGGTCTATTAACCCTTTTGCCCTGGATTTATGTGCTGTCCCCTGTAGTCTTTTGTGAATGTTGTTACATACAGATGGCTCCACATGTGCTCAGTCAGCAAGGAGAATATCAGTAGTCCTAGTGACTGATCCTGATTTCCCCATTCCTTGAATTGGTGGGGAAATGTGTTTTTCCTTTTAATACAGTTGACATCAATACTGTTATTATTGATAGAATTTAGGACAATGAAATAATGCAAAAGACCCTTTCCAAGAGTCGAGGAAAAGAGTAAACAGGTGAGATACATAGGACTAATAACCGACTCCTTGGTGGACTAAGCGCTTGTAGTACCATCTATGTGTAATTACAATAAATAAACTTGTATTACATTGGGCATGGCATGTATTCTTGCCATATGGGCTGATTGGGTTAACTGACTCCTTTGTGGCTAAGCACTTGGAGAGACATTTCACCAAAAAAAAAATAAATAAATGAGCACAGCATTTTCCCGTCGACACTGAGTTAAAGTATTGTGGCGAAAATGATAAAAATGGATAATGATTAGGACAAATTCTGTTAGATGTCAAAGGTCATAGAACTCTATAGAATAGCATGGTAGTGAAAGAGTAAGAAGGGATAGTAAATGGAGTAAAGTGGGGATCAGTCAAAGTGAAAAAGGTAATAAGGGCAATGAGATCAAATGAAGAGTATCTATGTATCTGAAGAAGGAAAAGGAACACAGTGTTAAAGAGCCATCATAAGGCTAGAGATGGGTGTCAGACAAGTAGGAGGAGCGGCCGGGGAACGAGACACGCGAACGGGGGAAAGATGTGAACTATCTGGAAAAATATTACGCGGGGGAAGAATCCTGACGACACTGTTGTGACAGAAGGGTGTCATGTGAGCATTCGTGCCAGAGAGGAGGGATTATGGGGAAAGAAGGGGGGATGGTGCAGATGGAGATAACAACAGGCATGGGATAGGGGAGGACAAAAAATAATAATAATAAAGTAATAATAATAAAAAGGGAGATGATAATTATAATAAAAATGACAATGAGGATAATAATAGCAATGATAATGATGAGGATGATAATGAGAGCTGTGATGATTATAATGGTGATAGTGATGATAATGATAGTGATAATGATGAAAAGACGAGGAATGATAGTGATAATGATGAAAAGACGAGGAATGATTGTGATAATGAAAATAATAATAATATATATAATAAAAGAAGAATGATGACAGTGATAATAGTCATCATCAAAATAATAACCATTATAACCACAATAATGATAAAAATCACCATCATCATTATTTATTACAAAAAATCATAAAAAATTAAAAATCACTTATAATTATATAATAATTGTAATTACAGTAACTATAATAATCACTGAAAATAAAAATCAAAGAGTTATCAAATGCAGATACAAACAAAATCACAGTATATTTTGTGCACCAAGCATTAAAGTATCTCTTGCAATATGTAAAATTTCTCCTTGTACCTAACACTACCATTCACTGACAGATAAAAATCATTGCACTTGAAAATTTAGGTAAGGAAACTGCATCTAAATATTCTTACAATAGTCTAGGATCCCATACTAAAGCCTAATCCCCTCAATTACCTTATAATCAAAATAGCTAAAATAATCGTAATTATAGCCATATTCTAATCATTGTCATGAGCAAAATCACAATAAAATTTCATGACTAAACAATTATCATCACTTTCATCTTCAGCCTAACATCATAATAATAATAATAACACCAGTTAGAACTAAAGGTATAAATAAATTTCTCACACAATGTACAGCTTATCTGCAATACTTGATTGTGTAATTTTCAACTGATTATATTCCTTTAGTTCTATATGTAAATCAACAGGTGCTTATAATGTCTCTTTCCTCATATTGCTTCCAAAAATTATTTGACTTATATGTTTTCCCTATTCGTGTTTTACCCTCATATTTGTTGTACAGCTTAACCATACACATTTGACAGGAATTCAAGATGTGAAATGAAAATTCAAATAACAACAACAAAAAATCCCCATAAACTGATGCTATACCCTTACCAATGAATATTCCATCCATTATGCAAGTTATCACTCAAGATGACTATAAAAGCTGTATTCACACAAGTAAAGGAAAAGATAGTGAAAAAAACAAAATATTAGATCAGGCAGAACAAAAATGACTCTTGGGGGGAATGAAACATCTATTCTCCAAAAAAAGAAACTATGATAACAAAAATGCAAAATTACCAAGTGTAGAGAAAGTTACAGACATTAGTTTTCTGTTTTGGCTATACAGTATCAACCAGAAGCATCAGATTAGTTCAGTCATGGTAAGTATGTCTACACAATCACACAATCATTCTTGATCTTCCATACTGAACCTATATATTATCTTCTGCTAGATAAAACAAAAATCATTAATGCATTTCAAAACTTTTAATGCACAAGACAGCTTACATTCTAACTCAACAGATCTTCATTTAATGTTTTCTCTTATTATTTTTTCTGGGCCACTGAATGGTAAATGCTGTAAAAATGCTATACATAAATGTAAATGAAAGATGACTTACTCCTAATGTTCATGAATATAACATTAACATTTGAATGTATCCTGATCTATAGCATAACATTTTGTAAACCACAGAGAGAATCACCAACAGTATCTCACTGTACTGTTCTATACAAGGCACCATTGTGCAAGCAGTTCTTTAAAACTATTTCTTTTTTATAATACAAAGTACTTTCTCCTTTGCGATTTGCTTTCTTTTTCTTTTAATCTATTAATGTTTCTTTCCCCTTTTCCCTCTCTTTCTTCTAAGTAACAACCAAGTTGTAAATCCAAGGCTCTGGATATATGTCATAGCAAGTCATGAAAAAACTCTCTTCATTAACTGATAACAATGCAATATATGCACACATCTGTAATTTTCAAAGCTAAAGATTTCGTGCACATGATTACTCTATTTGGCAACTTGTTCTGCAATGTGTTCTAAACTATAACTAGAATATGACTTTACATCTGCCAACATTTTTCAAAGTAAGTAGAAATAAGAATTCAAGAGATTTCTTCAAAAATTACATTACACTTTCCAGTTTTGTTTTATATACAAAAATTATACTCTCTTTGCATGTAATATAAAGCAAACATTCTACAGGCTCTAAGCTAATAATCTTAAAGCAAAGTAGGTGCTGTGTAATAAATCTAATATAACCTTTATAATATCCCTATTTAAATAACACTGTGCCTTAACAAAAAACAAATAAAAATATTTTTTATTCACAACAATATCTATAATAAAGGCTTAAATTGCTAGCAGTTTTCCCACACATTTACTATTACAGATTTTTTAAACAAATTTTAGTTTCGAAGATCAATCACTTTTATGGACGAGTTCTTCTCAAGTTTCACATGTTCAGCCGTCTGGAAAAAAAAAATACATTAATTTCATGAGGAAACAAATGACACTTTTAACCCATTCCCACCGGTCATGCCATGCCATACCCACTGTGAGATTACTTGTTGAATTGTTTTTACACATAGATGGCTACACTTGTACTAAATCACCAATGAGCCAGTTACGAGTACTGCCTGTCTCGCCCGTTCACCCTTTGCTTTGATTTACAAAATATTTTACGTTATCTTATTTTGATGTAACTAATGTTAAAAAAACATTATAAAAACTATAATGTTTATAATAAAAATAACACCATCGATATTCATGACACTAGTGAAAAATACGTTTTTCCCGCCATTTCCAATAAGGCGCTAACAGAGCCTGTGAAAATTTTATAGCAATTACAAAACCAAAACACAAAAATACACAATATATTTACCTGGAATAAAGGGGGTTCCTTGGGGTGAGGATGAAATCCATTTTCTTGGCAATTGGCAATGAAGGACAGCCCATGATTCGGCGTGAGAGTGAAGTAGCCCGTTTCGTCATATTTAGGGGCACATACAATGGCCACAGCCTCGGGCATCATAAGTTGGTAGGAGCAGTGCGTGTGGAGGTCAACGCTCGAGAGGAAAGCAGTCTGTGTCGGATGTGTCTGCAAGATATCGTTAATACATGTTTACTAGATCTTTTTTTTTTTTTCTCAGCCCAATTTTTAGTATTACTGTGTGACAGGTTCTGCAAAATGTCACAATTATTTCCTTATATATGTGTTTTGCCTTAATATATGACCAGTTTAGGTACATTCTCCTTTGCTTTTTTTCTTTAGTGTTTTTGAGCGGTTGAGGAGTGGGTATTTGGGTGGGTGATTAAATGAGAGGAGATGAGAGGGAGAGAGATAGGAGAGGGAGAGAGACAGGAGAGAGAGAGAGACAGGAGAGGGAGAGAGACAGGAGAGGGAGAGAGACAGACACAGACACAGACAGACAGACTGACAGACAGAGACAGACAGAGACAGAGACAGAGACAGAGACAAAGACACAGACACAGAGATACAGAGACACAGAGACACAGAGACACAGAGTGAGAGAGGGAGAGGGAGAAGGAGAGGGAGAGGGAGAGGGAGAGGGAGAGACAGAGTGTTTGTACGTGTGAGTGCGTGTGTGTGCGTGTGTGTGTGTGTGCACGGGTGCGTGTACGTGCAACTGTTTGTATATATCTTTTTGTATAAGACCATTTTGAAAAAGTAAATAATTAATCAATTAATTATACTAATAAAAAACAATCAGGCAATGAAACAATGAAGGACAACAAGAACATGAAATGCTTATCAACAACATACATGTATCCAGCCAATGGTGATGAGATCCAGCTTGTCTTGGTAATCAAAGAGTTCCTCCTCCTGCTGGGTCGTGCAAGAGTCTGATGTTCCACATTGCTTGGGCACTAATAAGTGTGTCACAACAAGCTGGTTCTGGGCCTGGAAAAAAAATAATAGTAGGTAAAGAAGTCCTGGTCTCTCTACTCCTCATTTCAAATAATACTTGAATACTGGCCAAAGAGAGGAATGGAAGCTCATTACAATTCACAGCTCTGATGAATAAAAATATATCTGTCTTGTACTTACCAATCTGCCAGCTAACACCCCACACGTCTCAACATTCCGTAAAGTATTGGACTCTGCTAAAGCCATGAATTTCGACATTAATTCCTCTGGCACCAATACTCCTCGCAACCCTCCACTCTTTGTGCTAAGGAGGCTTGTGGGTTTACTACTACGATCCACTGTTGGGACACTGGAATAAAAGGTTTAAAGTGAGATGGATTCCAACTTCCTTTCCTAAATTACTAGGGTTTTTGTGCCATATCTAAAATAAGAATCAAACACAGACCATTAACTTTTAGTTTTATATTCTTACTTTCTGTTCATCTTCACATGTTGAAATACTTTACTTGTAATAAAATATATATTTTTGGCAAATCTAGTCAATACAGTAAAATGGTGTAATAAGGAAGATGAAAATCTGACACCTGATAAAACACTTTCAAGTCTAGCAGTTTCATTCTTTATCTCCTTTAAACTGAGAAATATTGCAGATGTATTTTGTAATTCCAAGGTATGTGTAGGTTTTCATTAAATGTCAGCAGTAAATGACTACATGAATTATACAATTATCTACTATTCTGTTAATTATTCTTTTAGCATTTTCAATGGAAAACTATATAGCTCCCCCTGACCTCCAATCTCAGCCAGGTGTTGTTATGCAGAGAGAAGTTTCACAATATGGGTGAACAGCATACAAATATGCATATATACTCTATACATACAGACTTACGTATATATGGCTGAACTGTTCAAGTGCATCACATAAGGAATGGAAAGACAATGTTAGTCCTTTTAATCCTAGTCTCATGACCATCATTTGATTTTTTTTCTTTTATTTTTGTATCAGGTCAGTGTTACATCATCTGCACTAATTTTGTACCTTTGCAGAAGTAGAAATAAAAATTAATAAATGAACTAATTCAATCTAAATATGTAATCCAGGAAAAAAAGTACTTCTCATATTTGGTAACATTTGTGAGTGTAAACAGAGTGCTACTTACGCTGGAGCTACAGGTTTGAGATCTCTTGAAGGAACGGAAGGCAAAGATGATGTGTTCGTCACTCTTTCATCCTGACCATAGTCATCTATGGTAAGTTCAGATGTTGGGTAAGCTAAACGTTCTACTGCATCATATCTGTTGCAAGAAAGCAAAATACATTAATTTGTCAGATTATTCAAAAAAACAATATTTGTACAAATATATACAGTGTAGATTCTGGTACACAGATAATCTATATACCTTCTATCAACTATTTATATCTCTTTATTTGTGTATCTCCATTTGTCCTTTTGTTGCTTTATATTTGTGTTTCACTGTCTTTGTTAATAAAAAATAAGCTAATAAGACTCACGCAGGTGGACTATCTCCCCAAGCTGTTTTTGGGTGGTTGTGGTGGAAGGACTGAATATCTCGTATCCTCTGCTCCTCTTCTGCTATCTCTTTCCTTCTCTGTTTCTCTTCCTCATGCTGCCTTCTTCTCCTCTCCTCCTCCTCCTTAGCGATACGCTGTTCCTCCAGCTGCTTCTGCTTGATTCTTTCCTCCTGCAATTTCTGTTGTAGGGTTCTCATGTCTCAAAAGTCTTTTTTCAGAATAGCAATAATTGATACAAGATTTAAGGAAAATATGTAAGAACTGCAACTGGCTATTACACTAACAGATACAGACACATCCTTGTAAACTTTGAAATAATTTGGCCTTAATGAGCAACTTGAAACATTCTCTTTTGATTTTTTTTTTTTTTACTTCAAAAGTAATCAATCAAGTGTATTCATAATTTTTTGGCTTGATCCAAAGCAGCCAAGTTGAGTGTATCATAGTTTCTTCAAGTGACCAGAGAACTTTTTCCAAATTTGACATCCCACTATTTCTTAATTACTGGACATATAAACTTGAGCCATACATTTTCTAATGTGAAAATTGATGCTCTATAAAAAAAAACAAAAATCTAAAATGGCCTTGGACAAACATGAAAATTTGATGACTTTTGCAACTGGACAATAGGCAAGGCCAAGGCAGTCATTTGGGGATAATTCAATTTATATACTTGTAAAGCTTTGTCTTATATTCCTAAAAAGGAAGAGGTGGTCAAGATTATATTCTCATCAAAGAAAAGAATATAGTAAAAAAAAAAAAAAATACAGAAATTTGCTCACCTGCTCTTTCACTATAATACTGTATTCCCTCTGATATTTTTCTGTAAGACGAGCTTTAAGCTGCTCAGCCTTAGGCAAGATTTCCTGAGAAAAGAAAAATTTCTGGTCAACTATGTACTAAACCCCTGAATGATCTTAAACCATTAATTTAAAATTTCCCCAGTGTACTAAGGGATCTTAATTTCCTGAAATTCTATCTAATCAATAATATCTGTGCCTGGTTCTTACAGACATTACTATTATCAATAATAAAAAAAATACAAACTTACCTTTAACTTTTTAGCATTATTGGTTTTATCAACTGATGAGTGACCAGGGAACTCAGGATGACTTACTATTTTTTCTAGGAATAATCTGAAAATCAAAATAGCACAATATATACAAGAACTTGCCTAAAAATCTAAACATCTATAGTTTATCCACACTCATGCTATCTTGTCCCCTTCTATATTAAGAAGTGTAGAATATAACAGTAAAATGGTCAATTTACTTTACACCATTCACTTGCACGTTATAGGTCACAACCCTATTCACACTTTTGGTTGATGTATATACCCTTAACTACATTATTGAAAGTGATAAGCATTTTACATATTTCATTAGCTGCAATTATACATCTGGGAAAGCAGGTACAAAATTGTCTTTTACTGTAAATCTCTTCTTACTGAGTTTGATAAATCAATAATGAGCCATACTAATTCTGCCATTAAATTACTCTAAAAAGACAATATCACTTTGTCGTAAATCACATTAAACTTCATCCTATGAAAGGAATACCTTATGAGCAAATTTTTTCTTTCTTCCTCTCTTTCTTTCTTTCTTTTTTACTTCATTTCATTAAAAAAAATTACAAGAAGATTTAAGGATTACTTATATACAGCCCTTCTTAAGTCCATATATAGCATACCAATGTTACCGGTATATACAGGGGTTATCATTAGTCATTTAAAAAACATATCAATAAACTTGAAATAAAGATAATACCAAAAAGCATATCTCCTGGATCAAACTTACGTCATAAACTTCATGTACAGTATAAAAGCATTCTCGTAACTTCCTTCTTCCGTGTACACATTGGCCATTCTCACCATTTCTAGACCCGACCGGTAGTATCTGGAAAGAAATAGACATATTTAACTTCTTTTACGTTTGAAATGATAAAAATTTTGTTTGTTTTGCATGTCACAATGGGAGAGATGGAAAAGGGATAGAGGAAGAGAGGAAGAGAAGAAAGAGGAGAAAGGGAGAAAGGGAGGGGGGGAGGGGGGAGAGGGAGAGGGAGAGGGAGAGGGAGAGGGAGAGGGAGAGGGAGAGGGAAAGGGAGAGGGAAAGGGAAAGGGAGAGGGAAAGGGAGAGGGAAAGGGAGAGGGAGGGTAGGAGGGAGGAAGGGGGAGAGGGAGAGGGAGGGTAGGAGGGAGGAAGGGGGGAGGGGGAGAGGGAGAGGGAGAGGGAGAGGGAGAGGGAGAGGGAGAGGGAGAGGAGAGGGAGAGAGGAGAGGGAGGAGAGGAGGGAGAGGGAGGGAGAGGGAAAGGGAGAGGGAGAGGGAAAGGGAGAGGGAGGGGGGAGGGGGAGAGGGAGAGGGAGAGGGAGAGGGAAAGGGAGAGGGAGAGGGAAAGGGAGAGGGAGGGGGAGAGGGAGAGGGAGAGGGAGGGTAGGAGGGAGGAAGGGGGAGGGGGAGGGGGAGAGGGAGAGGGAGAGGGAAAGGGAGAGGGAGAGGGAGAGGGAAAGGGAAAGGGAAAGGGAGAGGGAAAGGGAGAGGTAGAGGGAGAGGGAGAGGGAAAGGGAGAGGGAGAGGGAGAGGGAGAGGGAGAGGGAGAGGGAGAGGGAAAGTGAGAGGAAGAGGAAAGGGGAGAGGGAGAGGGAGAGGGAAAGTGAGAGGAAGAGGGAGAGGGAAAGGGGAAGGGAAAGGGAAAGGGAAAGGGAGAGGGAGAGGGAGAGGGAGAGGGAAAGGAGAAGGGAGGGAGAGGGAGAGGGAGAGGAGAGGGAAAGCGGAAAGGGGAAGGGAAAGGGAAAGGAGAGGGAAAGGGAGAGGGAGAGGGAAAGGGAAAGGGAAAGGGAGACGGGAGAGGGGAAAGGGAAAGGCGTTAGAGGGAGAGGTGAAGAGAGAGAGAGGAAGAGGAGCAGAGAGAGAGAGAGAGAGAGACAGAGAGAGAGAGAGAGACAGAGAGAGAGAGAGAAAGAGAGAGAGAAAGAGAAAGAGAAAGAGAGAGAGAGAGCAAGAGAGCGAGAGAGACTGACTCAAAGCAAGTCACTGAGTTACGCATGAGAGGAATATCAAAAAGGGACTTACCTTCTCAGAGGTATATTTGGATCCACGACAATAGATTCTCCCTGCGAGCACAGGAGTTTAATGCGAGCAGCTGGCTCCAGGTGCGATGACTCCCGGTGCGACATTCTGCAAAATGGCATTAACAATCCATCCATTACCAATGCTCATCCCAGGACTTATCTGTTTCCACTTCCTCAAGTCTCCCCTTTAGTTTTGCTATTCTATATCTTGTTTAAAAGTCAATCGCCCTACTTTAGTTGTACCATGTTTGAAGATATGTCAAGTGTTTTCCCTGCATGAGGACTTGATAATTGTTTTAAAAAATGTCCGGCAGATCTGTACAATTTCAAATAGTATCAAAAAAAAAATTCAGTTAATTTAATGTTGATCTTGTTTTTGTGAAATCTTCCAAGAAAATCGTGCTTCACTGTTATTGTTATACAGAGAAATCTATATGTGAAATAATTACAATTATCCGCAAATGGAATATGTCATGTGATGTGCAGTCCACACTACACAAAGGCCAACAAACATACAATATACATAATGGAGATTTGATGACCATTGCCAGCACATGTAGCACAGAGGCTACAGCATTACTTGATACTCACATTCACAGGCTTTGATAAGTGTGTGCAAACTTACTTTCTGCAGATTATATTTCATATCTAAAAGTGCTGTTTCATGCATCTCTTATGACCATATCAGTAATGCCTTTCCATCTCAACATGGCCCTATTCTGAATAACTAAATCATCATTAATTATTAAAAATATACAAATCTCGGATAGGATCACAGTCATCAGTACACTAGTATTAATGTGAAAGGGACATACTGGTAATGACGGTAAACTGTATGGCATCTTTCCACCAGCCTCAAGAAAACTGAGATTTCCCCACTCCCCATCCTTAAACCTTCTACAAGGATGGACTATGAAACTGTGGTCTTTACAGGTTAATATCAAGAGATCACAACCTATTTTCTTCATTATACTCTGCCTACACAGATTGTTTCATGTATCAATCAATGTAATTTTTCCTTTCTTTATGATAATACAGATAGTCCCCTACTTAAGAACATTCTACTTATGAACATTCCATACATACAAACAAAATTTTTTAAGTACTAAAGTCAAAAAAATTGTTCGAAAGATGCTAGCAAACTTCAAATTTCCCGGGCACGAATATAGTTCAAGAGTCTGGTACTGTATAAGGTATGTCGTACTTATTGGGATTTATTTACAGGTATTCTTAATGTAGACAAAACTTTAAAACAATGGGAAAAAAAGGTAATGAATACCTGACTTTCAACATACAAACAAATCAACTTACAAACAGCCTCTCGGTCCCCATTACGTTCATGAGTTGGGGACTTACTGTATTATTAGTATTCTGTATCTTAAGAGCAGTCATTATATAAATATATGCCTAAAGAACTACTCCAAATCTCACTCCCCAACATGAATAGCATGAATATTATTATATCCCAATGAATATTTTCAACAAATATTTTTGGTAATTTTCTAGTTTTACACAGCCATCCAATCTTGCACTTATTATTCCTTCTTTCAAGTATCAGTGGTGCAATATACAAGAATCTCTTATTATTTTCCGTTGCAAATTATATAAATGCACATGTTTACAGAGTGACCTTACTTCTCTCAGACTAAGTCTCAATTACTCTTGCCATAATTGCGAAATCAAAAAAAACATGGCCGTTTGAACTAAAAAACCTTTTTTTCGCCCCAGACCCCCACGTAATCAATGTATTTTCCTATCAGGGTTCTGCCCCCGGACCCCCCCCCACCTGATTGCCGTGGACTTTCTCTCTGCGCAGCATATGTCGCGACCCATTTTCTTCATTTCTGATGTTATTTTAAGCCTATGCAGATTATTTCATGTATCAACAAGTACTGCCTGTAGCACAACTTTCTTACAATCAACTTGCAAAGGAAGAGCCATAGATGAAAAGTTCCTTATTTTTAGCCAATATATTCATTACAGACAAATTCTACCTTGTAGTACATAGCTGTGGGAAACGGAAACAATACCATATTTCCATGGTAAGCAATTCTTCCTCAAATAAATTCTTAGACAGATAAATAAATTATTTTTGAATTTTTTGTAATCATCCTTATGACATGACAATGGTGCTCATGACATGACATTTAAGATGCAATATACTTTGTATCAATTATCAATGATGTTTTTTTTACATTTTCACTTCCATTAAACCTTCCCTTTAAGCAAACAAGAGTCCATGCCTTCATTATAAAATACTTCATATACGTTTTCAGAACTAATAAAAAATAAAAAAAACTAGAAAAATCAGAGAAATAAATATCTGGCGTATTAAAACCCTACACCTTTATAATATCAAACAGATGCACACACTACCTAACAAGCTGACCATAGTACTATCACTACAAAAAAATAAAATAAAATAAAATAAAACACCCAAAAGCGGAGAAGAGAAGAAAGTGAAAGGGAAAAATAATGGAATCTAAAGGAAAAGGGAATCGACCTATAACCTTTCTCGCCGCCGCCCCCTTTTCCCCCTTCATTTCTCTTCTAAATTACGCCGGCAACCTTTTAAGCAGCAATACTAACCAACACTTGACATCATATTTTCCTCAATGAACTTACTTGGAGGAGATAACACAGTGACAGGAACAGCTAAGAAAGAGGAAGAGCGGCAATGCGTTCCCGAAGAGATTTGTTGACAAAATATCATCTGACTGTGACGTCATAGCAGTCAACTCATAGAAAACGGACACATGAGGGGGAGAGGGGGGGAAGGGGGGAAGGATGGAAGACAGAATAGGTAGAAGGAATAGAGACAAATATGCAATACGGAAGTGGGCTTATATATCTATCTATCTATCTAGATATATACATATATATAAGTATGTATGTGCATGTGCATGTGCATGTGCATGTGCATGTGCATGTGCATGTGCATGTGCATGTGCATGTGCATGTGCATGTGCATGTGCATGTGCATGTGCATGTGCATGTGCATGTGCATGTGCATGTGCATGTGCATGTGCATGTGCATGTGCATGTGCATGTGCATGTGCATGTGCATGTGCATGTGCATGTGCATGTGCATGTGCATGTGCATGTGCATGTGCATGTGCATGTGCATGTGCATGTGCATGTGCATGTGCATGTGCATGTGCATGTGCATGTGCATGTGCATGTGCATGTGCATGTGCATGTGCATGTGCATGTGCATGTGCATGTGCATGTGCATGTGCATGTGCATGTGCATGTGCATGTGCATGTGCATGTGCATGTGCATGTGCATGTGCATGTGCATGTGCATGTGCATGTGCATGTGCATGTGCATGTGCATGTGCATGTGCATGTGCATGTGCATGTGCATGTGCATGTGCATGTGCATGTGCATGTGCATGTGCATGTGCATGTGCATGTGCATGTGCATGTGCATGTGCATGTGCATGTGCATGTGCATGTGCATGTGCATGTGCATGTGCATGTGCATGTGCATGTGCATGTGCATGTGCATGTGCATGTGCATGTGCATGTGCATGTGCATGTGCATGTGCATGTGCATGTGCATGTGCATGTGCATGTGCATGTGCATGTGCATGTGCATGTGCATGTGCATGTGCATGTGCATGTGCATGTGCATGTGCATGTGCATGTGCATGTGCATGTGCATGTGCATGTGCATGTGCATGTGCATGTGCATGTGCATGTGCATGTGCATGTGCATGTGCATGTGCATGTGCATGTGCATGTGCATGTGCATGTGCATGTGCATGTGCATGTGCATGTGCATGTGCATGTGCATGTGCATGTGCATGTGCATGTGCATGTGCATGTGCATGTGCATGTGCATGTGCATGTGCATGTGCATGTGCATGTGCATGTGCATGTGCATGTGCATGTGCATGTGCATGTGCATGTGCATGTGCATGTGCATGTGCATGTGCATGTGCATGTGCATGTGCATGTGCATGTGCATGTGCATGTGCATGTGCATGTGCATGTGCATGTGCATGTGCATGTGCATGTGCATGTGCATGTGCATGTGCATGTGCATGTGCATGTGCATGTGCATGTGCATGTGCATGTGCATGTGCATGTGCATGTGCATGTGCATGTGCATGTGCATGTGCATGTGCATGTGCATGTGCATGTGCATGTGCATGTGCATGTGCATGTGCATGTGCATGTGCATGTGCATGTGCATGTGCATGTGCATGTGCATGTGCATGTGCATGTGCATGTGCATGTGCATGTGCATGTGCATGTGCATGTGCATGTGCATGTGCATGTGCATGTGCATGTGCATGTGCATGTGCATGTGCATGTGCATGTGCATGTGCATGTGCATGTGCATGTGCATGTGCATGTGCATGTGCATGTGCATGTGCATGTGCATGTGCATGTGCATGTGCATGTGCATGTGCATGTGCATGTGCATGTGCATGTGCATGTGCATGTGCATGTGCATGTGCATGTGCATGTGCATGTGCATGTGCATGTGCATGTGCATGTGCATGTGCATGTGCATGTGCATGTGCATGTGCATGTGCATGTGCATGTGCATGTGCATGTGCATGTGCATGTGCATGTGCATGTGCATGTGCATGTGCATGTGCATGTGCATGTGCATGTGCATGTGCATGTGCATGTGCATGTGCATGTGCATGTGCATGTGCATGTGCATGTGCATGTGCATGTGCATGTGCATGTGCATGTGCATGTGCATGTGCATGTGCATGTGCATGTGCATGTGCATGTGCATGTGCATGTGCATGTGCATGTGCATGTGCATGTGCATGTGCATGTGCATGTGCATGTGCATGTGCATGTGCATGTGCATGTGCATGTGCATGTGCATGTGCATGTGCATGTGCATGTGCATGTGCATGTGCATGTGCATGTGCATGTGCATGTGCATGTGCATGTGCATGTGCATGTGCATGTGCATGTGCATGTGCATGTGCATGTGCATGTGCATGTGCATGTGCATGTGCATGTGCATGTGCATGTGCATGTGCATGTGCATGTGCATGTGCATGTGCATGTGCATGTGCATGTGCATGTGCATGTGCATGTGCATGTGCATGTGCATGTGCATGTGCATGTGCATGTGCATGTGCATGTGCATGTGCATGTGCATGTGCATGTGCATGTGCATGTGCATGTGCATGTGCATGTGCATGTGCATGTGCATGTGCATGTGCATGTGCATGTG